GAGGTTGTTGTGAACCTCAAAGCTCTCGGGAGTGGTATTGTTTTATATAGGTTCTTCGTTCGAAGAGCTTTGATTTTGAAAGTGAAAATTTTCGTCTATCAATTTAGAAAATCGGCCGATGATCATCTTTCATTAATTTGTGATGACTTTTCTGCGCACCGGGAAAGAAACCATCTTTCGGAAGCCATGTGGCTTATGTATAGGCGTTGTTTAAGTTTAGGAATAGAAATTAAAATCCTCTTAATGTTTTTTTGGTTTTACCCACCAGTTTTGCGGTTTCCTTTCTTTGTTACGAAAAAGACAGAATAGGTCATCCTAATTGTTATGATATTTAGATTTAAGTCCTGCCCTAAGGGAATAATCTGTAAGTTTCTTGTTTTTGTTTTAGTCCGATCTCCGAACATGAACCGAAAATGAAATTGCCATTATATAATGGTCGCTGCGTCTACTGTACAGTAATATAAATATATTTCCGGCTTTCATCGTAGTTTGTAATTTAATCACAGCTAATAAATACCATATTTGGCCAGTTTACGTCGGAAGGGTGTTTTCAGTTGTCACCAGAAATTACGGAATTAAACTAGCATCAATTTGGCGCTCACTCTAATATACGTGAGAAGCTTAGCCGTGTGTGGGCAGTTGGATTTTACTCTTTATTGTGTATGTTATCACTGCTGAGCACCCGATTAGTTTTAAATGTGACAAGTATATTCATCAAGCTTGATACTTTTGACCTATTGATTCTTTTTTTCAGCTGCGAATGTTCTTGACCCTTAAATCTTTCTGATAAGGGCTGGGTAATTAATGCATTTAATCGTAGTTCCTGCCTCACCCAGCCACCATGACAAAACAGACAATATCCCCTAAATATAACGCCATTTTCAACTGTATCTGTCTTAATCCGGGCAGAACAAGGAATGTTCGCTGTGTATTATGGACAATAGTTTTCTTAATAATATCGCAGTGAATGTGGGAGAATTCTGTGGAAACTGTAGAGGGGTGAAAAGACATCATGAACAGGTAAATGAATGGATGCTTTGGGAATTTGTCAGGAAACCTTTTCTGATTTTATGAGGCAGAGCTCTGGGAAATCCTACCATTAGCAGTGTAGCCCAGAACGAGCCCTATGGCAAAAATATAATTTTTTTTATAACATTAATTTATTATATTTTTAGTCTTAATATTCATAGTAAAGGAATATTAAGATGATTAATGTATGTCCCTTTTTTGCTTTCACCTCTCACCATTATTACCAGATGTTTCTTGATAAACAAATGATAAAGTCTAGAAACAAGAGGACTGTGTTACATTATGTATTGTGTAGGTTACTGTTTCAGTTATTGTTATGTTCTTTTGTTTATCCATAACTCTCTCTACCTTTGGTTCTGTTAATAGCAGCCTGCTGTAAAACTGTAAGAATTAGCATTTTTGATAACGCTTACAAGCATTATTTTATTCCAGACAAACACTTTTATCAACTCATCGAGAATTGTGAAAAATTATTCCTCCATACAAATTATACCATACTAAAGTTGTTTTTTTGTAGGAACTTGATGACTCAGCCATTCAAGAGAAGATTGACCATGAGGTGCATATACGAGACGGAATAGTTAAATTGTTAGCTGCTTGCCATGAGGAGGTTCAGGCCCTTGAGGCATCCAAGAACCTTCTCACAATCAATGCTCGTATCCTTGCTCTTATGGCATTGCTACAGAGACACAGGGCAAAGTCAGTCTTGAGGCGCAAAGGATCGAGGTATATTTAAAGTGTGATATATGTAAAAGTGTCAATAGTGTGTAATAACTTTAAATGATGGAACAATATCTCACAGGAATATTAGTTAATATATTTAGGCTGTTATTATGTAAAGTTTCTATTGCATTCTCAGAGATCGTGCATATGTAAGTTGAGGTATGGGGGAGTGTAAATAGGTTTTTTGAGGCAAGAAACAAGACTAGTTCATTACATGTTGGTGTCCGTGTTTTAATGAAACTGTGTGTCATTGAAAAACATTGAAGAAATGAGTGACAGGTTGTATCTTGCCCCATTTCATGTCCAGCATAGAAGTATAGCAGTTAGTTGCTTCTTTTGTCGGAAAATGTAACACAAAAGTAAAATAACACAAAATATTATTTTATTGTTGTACTTCAGTTTCTGGGCTGTAAATTTAGAATTAGGTCAAGCTAATACCAGTAAATTAGCAGCAACCTTCTCAGAACCACACAGAAAGGATTTCATTGTTGTGATTTAGAACAATATAAAACCTATGTATACTGTATATGCATTGCTGACCACGCATGAAATCAAGATGGAGGGATATTGACTTGTTCCTTTTACATCGAAACTTAATCTCCAGCAATTTTGAACCAGCAAACTTTTAATTTGTTAATTGAGGATCCATTATGCGGTATATTGCCCAATTAAATTTTTTCTCCTGTGAACCAAGTGAGTACTCCTGATTTTGCATTCCTAATTTTACCTGCTTGGGTAGTCAATTCAAGGCTGCTGCCTAAGAAAAATTTTAGGGAGCCCTTCGGGCTCCTAAAGTTTAAAGTTAGGAGCCCGAGCCACATTGTTAGGAGCCCAGTTTGAAATCCATGTATTGTTTTTCCAAGATCATTACATAGGTTATAGAGGTTCTTGCACACTTTAATAAGAATTCGCCGGGCCTAATAAATAACACGTAAACAAGAATTAACCGAATTATTTACTTTCATACGTTGCAAACTGGTACATGAAATCGAACATCAAGCACGTCCAGTCGATAGCACGCAAGATAGCTTCCCATTCTCGCCACAAAAAAGTTATCAAATCGACGAAAACCCAAGCAAACGATGAACTGCACGAATGTCAACATAGGCAACAAACAGCCCATAATTTTGCTATTCCATATTTGGAAGTCAAATCTCAGACCCAGTCTTCAACTGCCATCCGGACTCGGAAACGATGGCTTCGTTCGTTTCGACAAAGCTTCACAGTTGAACACGTTAGGTTTACATAATTTACGGTTTATTTGTGGAAATTTTATACTGCCTAATCGCATCATCGCTAACCATATCAACAGTTCCACTGTTTAAAGTCCTACTCCAGCTAAAGGAATATAATGTACAAGGAGGTTAAGTNGGAGCCCAGTTTGAAATCCATGTATTGTTTTTCCAAGATCATTACATAGGTTATAGAGGTTCTTGCACACTTTAATAAGAATTCGCCGGGCCTAATAAATAACACGTAAACAAGAATTAACCGAATTATTTACTTTCATACGTTGCAAACTGGTACATGAAATCGAACATCAAGCACGTCCAGTCGATAGCACGCAAGATAGCTTCCCATTCTCGCCACAAAAAAGTTATCAAATCGACGAAAACCCAAGCAAACGATGAACTGCACGAATGTCAACATAGGCAACAAACAGCCCATAATTTTGCTATTCCATATTTGGAAGTCAAATCTCAGACCCAGTCTTCAACTGCCATCCGGACTCGGAAACGATGGCTTCGTTCGTTTCGACAAAGCTTCACAGTTGAACACGTTAGGTTTACATAATTTACGGTTTATTTGTGGAAATTTTATACTGCCTAATCGCATCATCGCTAACCATATCAACAGTTCCACTGTTTAAAGTCCTACTCCAGCTAAAGGAATATAATGTACAAGGAGGTTAAGTCTAATGCCGTGTGTTAAGTCAGGCGCCCGCGCGGGCTCCTTGTACCGAAATTTGGTCGCCCATGCTCTTACCTTGGGCGCCTCTGGCGACCGGGCGCCCGTTAGGCAGCAGCCTTGCAATTATTAGCCTGGTCTTGGAGCCAGCCTTGTAGTAAAGATAGCATTTGAACACTGTTATGTGGAGAGATTCTCTTATTGAATCAGCTCTTCTTGTCCTTTTAAATTTCAGTTCAACATCACCTCTGGATTTAGATGATGATGACGCCCCTTGCAAAGCCCAGCTTTCCCTCTCAGGTAAATCAATCAATGATTGATAGCAAGGTTGTGCTCTACCTAAGATAATAGGGAGCTTAAGCAACTACGACATCGACGACAACGACAACTTCAAAAAAACAATAGATTTAATGATCAAAACAACAGCTCTGCACGTGCATCACGCTTTTAGTACATTTCTTTGACGTCCACTGCATGACTACGACGTGAAACCTCCTAATTTGACGTTTTATGGAGGACGTAGACATACAATGAGGAATCTTCCTTCCTCTTTTTGAACCTGAATAAAATCCTTAAGAATACAACTCCAGGAAAAGTTGCCTGCCTTTGACATATTGAGTGGGTACAAATAGACGCGGTTAAGTTCGAAAGAAGGCAAATTCATTTTTTTTACTGACCTTTTCACTGCCGTTGTTGTTGTCCTTGCTTAAGGTCCCTAATATTATTGTAGCGAGCACAAAAGCTCCCCTGTAAGAGAAAAAAGATTATTCAGTTTGATAAATTTTATGAAAACATGTGAAGGGTTGAGCTACAACCAGTTGCAAAAATACTTGAGACACCCCCTCCTCCCCTTATCAATAATAATAATAATAATAATAATAATAATAATAATAATAATCTTTATTTCTTAAGATAAAATCACATATCCTAAGTTACAATATAAACTCAAAAAACTATTTACATATCAAATCTAAAAATTATTCTGTTACTAAAAACGTTCTTAAACCTGTCAGTGTAGATTCTAGGGACAGAGACTGACGTATTTCTAAGATTGTACCTCATGTTCTTTTCCTTAGGTAAAAACTGGA